TATATCGTGTTTGATATCATTTTCATCAGAAAAATCTCACCAACGTGTTAAAAAAAATTCCAGATGAAAAAAAGTAAAATTAAAGAAATTATATTTTTCTATTATGATTTGTGGAGTCGTGAAATCTCGTAAAGGAAACCGACTGGTGTAGCATGACACGCTTGACTGGCTGCGAGCGAGATAGCATGGGCGCAGCAATGACGCAGAACTAGGCGTAGAACCATTTATACTGACACTTGTAGAATCCAAACTGACTGACACTTGTAGAGAATTTACTGTATTGTGAACAGCAAATTTTCGCGTTATTTTTTTGACAAGTAAAAAATTGCGATTTTATTGCTTGCTTGAACGTATGTTTACAAATGAGAATATTACTACTTCCGTGAAGAAATGAAACATATCGTGAAAAATGAAGGAGATGGTATTAATTCATTTCACTTATTTCTGGCTTGCTGCGTTTTCAGTTAACGAATATATCGATTTTACGCAACTTCGAGTGATATTTATTGTTCGTAGCATGTGGAAAGTTATTTTCCGTTTTGTAATTAATCATTAATTTTCAGGAAATATCTCGAAGGGGCAAAAATTGTGATTCATTAAGCAAGAGTCAGGTTTAATCGTATTCTCCCGATGATTCATAGGTCTAATTATTAAAATTGGCCCATTATGTTAATTTGGCGGGGAATGTATTATTCTTGGCGTAGTCGCCGGGTGTAAATGCCGGCGATTCCTCTTTCCAAGCCACCGATATGCGTTTCGCCATCGAAAATTTAAGGGGGAAGATAAGGAAGTGGTTCTCGCTGCGGCGGATAATGCATTGCAGGTCGGAGCTGTCTGTCACGTCACGTCCGACACCAAGTCAGACAGCGACGCTTTTCTGATGTACTAGCTAGTAGCTTTCTTTCCTATTCCATCGAGAGCGTTGCCTCGGGTTTTGCGTGAAATTACTTTGCAAACCGTTCGTTTTATTGATAACCGAAATTTTCCTGTATAATTGGACGGTCGAAAAGTCAATTAAACGAGAAATTAAATGCCCTCGATTTTGGTAGAACAATTAACTTTCGAATGAATTTCTATAATAGAGTTCTTTCGAGCAATTAAAAGTGGCCTACTTGTTCTGTACATTTGTCAAATTTATCGACGATTCAGCGAGGTTCTACAAATTGCGAACGAAGCTTGCTAGCAAATTGTTAAAAATTTTGATTTGACAGAAATTACCTTACGCACGGTATGTGCTGGATATTAGTCAACACTCGTTGTTGTTATTTGTATTATGGCGTCTTTCTGGTGTAGATTACCAGCTCCACGTGTTTCTGTGTTCAATTGTCTTACGTATTGTTACACCCTCAAATATTTTCCTTCTTAGTCCTCAGTTTATCTGTACTTACAACGAGTCACCCACTTTCTCCGTTACTCATACTGGACTCTTCACCTTCCAACTCTCCTGCATAGTCACAACCCAAAGTCCATCTTCCTAGAACCCTTAAATAGCCCCATTTTCCCCATTTCCACATTCATTCTCTATTTTACCACGCGCACGTCACGTAACGTCAAAATCTCCGTCAAATAAAGTTCTGTTTCTACGCAACGACGATCCTTAAGTGTTTTAATTCAGTGATACCCCAATATCTGCTCCTAGTTTCGAGGAATTGGAGCAAACCGGGCGTCACAGTATGCTTCCGTCGCGTCTTGCCGGTTTGTCGTGGTAGTCGTTCGCCTTCGTGCAGAGTTCGATGTGGCCCGGCAATTATGTTGCAAGAACTATTGTATTTATTAAGTAATAATAAAACGCCTGTAAAAACCAACAGTATGAAAAAGGAGAAGAACAAATTGAAGTACAAAGGGACCTATTTGAAGCAATAAAAATTGACCTGCAAATGTATTTTATTACAAATATATTTGTTCTCTATATTTCTCACACATGTCAATGATCAACTGAAAGAAAAAATTATTCGAAAAATTACCTTTCGAGCAAATTGTAAAAAATATCAATTTGTCATAAATTACCTAATACACACAGTATAAAAAGTAAGCAGAACAAATTGAAGTACAAAGAGGCTTATTTAGAAGCGCGCCGTCATTCACACCTACGATTCCATCGAAATTCCGGCAAGCAAGCCGCGTCGATGGCAGTGAGAGGAATTACGGGATCGAGAGGGAAAGGGCAGGCTAGAAATTCTTCGGTTTGGGCCGCGAAAGAGATCGTGTGCCACGGTCCAGCATTTGGAACCGCTGACGGGGCGGTTTTTTTAAATCGAAAACACGATGACTTTACGCTCGCGTTCCCGCCGCCATCGATCACCCCCGCAAATTGCTTTCGTACGAATTATTTTTCCTTTTTTTTTCCCCTTTCTTTCTTTCTTTCCTTTCCGCTGCTGCCTTCTTTCCCGGGTTGTCTCGAGCGCGTCGAGCTCGCACGTACAAGGCCTCACTCTCCCATCCACCTGGTTTTCGCCTCAGCCCTCCAGAAAAGTTCTCTCCAGAGCGAGAAGCCGACGCGGCTGGATTCCAAAGTACGGATTTGTTTTTCCACGTCGCTATTTACTTTTTCACGGCGGCGTGCACAGGATGAATGAGGGAAGGGAAGCCCCCGAAGGGTGAAGCAACTGGCTTTTCTCGCCCCCTTCTTCTTTCCTCCGCTTCCTTCGTTTTTTCTTTTTCTTTTTTCTCTCTCCTTTCCGTTCACTGTTCTCTCCCGCATTCCATTCGACTGCGTGTTTCTATTGAACACCAATGATGAATGGTTATTGGAATAAAGTTATGCGGCGCGCCGGCATTAATGTTGCGAAACATTCCGAAACTGGGTAAATTCGATCTGGACGTCGATGCTCGCTGTTCCGTGCTACACCGTTACACTCGAATCGCTGCCGCGAAGTTTTATTTTCACAGCTACAATGCGGATCATTTTTCGAATTGAATCGCTCACTCGGGGGGTTTTTAATGCATCGAACCGGCGAGTTTTATCAATGGGATTCTGCTGATGAACAGGACGATGTGAAAGTACTGTGTTACAGGCTGCTTCAGGAGTGGATGGTGTTGAATATTTTGATGTGTATTTTGTTTAGTTTACGAATGAAGAAGTTTGCATCGAATGAAATATAAATTTTCCATTTGTAATATTGAAAATAGAGAATGTTCGGTTTAGTGATACGAAGGATTTCTGTTAGGGATTGGGTTTATGACATGGACGCCTGTTTACGCTATTTTTCAATGCGCCCCTTTTTTTTCTTCGCGTTAATTAATTTTTCATTCAAATTGGCCACGAAGCCCAGGAAGCGTTTTATGGCTGCAGAAAAATAAATTTTCTGCGGGCCACATACCTTCCCGGTGCCCACTCGTGAACATTCAATAAACATTGACATATCATAAAACCTTTCGCGTCTCCCTGACCGCCCAAAGTCCCGTTACGCGCGGGCAACCCTTGGGCCTCATTCCCCCACCATCGCGACATACCGCCAACCTGCCAACTTGGAAATTCCAGGGTGGGCGGCATGCTCCCGGGCCAGGGAGGACCGTCCAAGAGGGTAGACCCGTCCTCATTGGCGGAAACCACCAACTTGTACCCGTACACCCATTTATAAATAAGCGCACCAACGCGGCAGAAAGACAGATCAAAAAGGGAAAATAGACAAGTAGCACGTAACGAACACACACCATCTAAAATTGTCACTCTTCAATATAAAGCCTTACAACATATTAAAGTACGTGCAAACTCTAAGTCACCACGACTTCACACCAAGAACCACCGACAATCCTGCGCCACCACTCTCGAGCATACCGCTTGTTCGAAGCGCACGACACAACAGTTTCAATCTAATTGAAATTCTAGGTCCTTTCCAATACAAATTTGCTTATATACACTACAAATCGAAGAGAGAAACTAAATACAAAAGAACGAGGAAAGTCAAAAATTAATTGAGAGAAATGGCAACGATATAAAAAAATCTATTATCATCCAATACCTGTGTCATAAAAATTTAATAAAGCACCAAGTAATACTTTATCCGGGACGAAAATTCAAGAACATTTCCTGACCAAACTTGCACGTTCTCATTTCGCCTTTAGTATAAGTAGAATATACTCGAAAGTTCACTTACCCATTTCCGGGATCCCCCTGTATGCAGAACAGCGAGCACGAAAACTGGCAGCCTTTTCCGTTTCCAATTTCTGGGTCAGCCGGTTAAGAGTATCCTCCAGCCTCGTGAAGATTCGTAGATCCTTAGCAAGGAGATCCGGAAACGTGGTGGAAAATTAAACATGCCTACGGGCGGTGTGTAATCGAACCGAGCTCGTGCTTCGATCGTACAGAATCCCACCCCCGTTCTCCGGCACGATGACTCGCTCGGGGGAAAACGGCTCGTTTGGACGTCGTAGAAACGTGCGGTTTAACGCCGTGGAATCTTCGGTAGTAGGGAATCGTATTCGCTGAACCGGGGAAAAAATTCCGGAAGGAAGAGAACCCTCGTTACCTTCCTTCTTTATTGTATATTCGTGTACGTGTATATATATGTGTATTTTTTTTCGCTCTCGTTCGTTCGATATCTCGGAACCGACCTGGAGGAGATCGTGCTTCAAAGGAGGAAATCCTAATAAAAAGCAAGCGATAGAACGGAAACGAAGAAAGTTCAAAGTCCGTTCGAGAAGGAGTATGATACTGAGAGAGAGAGAGAGAGAGAGAGAGAGAGAGAGAGAGAGAGAGAGAGAGGGGGGGGGGGGGGGGTTCGCCTTCTCCTTCGATGCTCATAGAAATTCCGTGGCGTTCGTGAGCAGTTCCGCAAGGACTAGAACGCCGTAAGCAAAGTGCCACACGGTCTCGTACACAACTGTACATAATCGTGGCTATAGATAAGGCGAGGTTGAGTTGAGCCGGAGTAATGTATCTCGTGGACGTACGGAATGAAAATTTACACCCCTCGAGCTTTCGGCTATCGCTGTGTTTAATGCGAATTGTTTGCTCCGCCACTTGGATCATCTTGCTTATTTTTCCTTGTTTGTTGCAGGGACAAGGTGTTCAGGCTGAATCTGAGCAACATCAGTCATTCGAACTGTGAGGTGAGTACCTTCTTATTTCCACATATTCTGAGATATTTTCTCGTATGAAATTATAAATTAAAAATTTCTGAAACACCCAGAATATGATTTACACAAAAGAAAAAGGACTTTACGTAACATCGACGCGTGGAGCTGCAAAACATGTTGCATGGTAAGCCAGACGTTTTTCGCTTAGAATTTACAAAACTCATGATAGTTGAGTTTTGTGTACGTACGAAGAGTAACAATGTTTACCAATTCTCTTACATTCTTACATTAATCATTCGAACGAAGAAATTAAAAATTGTACTTTTGTGTGCTTCGAAGTGATTGATATTTTAAAGCTCGCGGTTCTAATTCCTGGGAGACGGACTGCGTTATAAAAGTAGCTGTCAGCCTTTTCTTGTTTAAACGCTTTATTGCCGATAGTTAAATTGACAATTTCTCGAATTTTATATGAGCTTGAAGTTCCTGATCACGGTGTCTAATAACTTTTAACGTCGGTTAGAAAAGTTTCACGATGGAGAAAGCTCGCTTCGAGTGAAAACTTTAAAGCACTCTTACGGTGATCAAGCAGTATGTATATGTATAAGTAGCGATGAAAATGGAAGACCCGCATAAAAAATTCTTTTTACGAGTTAAAATGATGCCATTTCGCGGCAAGTAATACGATCTAATAAAAAGCAAATTTAAGAAAGAGACGATACATAGTACATTGACAAATATTCAACTGTTTAACCTCTTCAGGAACACCGACGCATACGTGTACCTTTAAATTTTCCGAAAATTCCGATATTTGCCACAGAGAAAATATGAAAAACGCAATCTCCCAGCAAGGAAAGCAGTTCAACTGCTATCGATTTAACACGAATATAACTACATAAAAAATTAGACCAATAGTTTCTAATTTAAAAAGAATCATCCCTGAAGAGGTTAAAATAAAAAATTTGTGAACAATCGTAAGCAATATACGCTACACGGTACTTCGTGAAACACATATTTCCTTATGGTACATAAAATCAAACAGCACGCTACTTTTCAAACAAATACAATTTCATAGAACCGTCTCCCCCTTTACAATACCCACCGTAGTACCCCCTGCTGTTTCGACTCGATCCATACAGGAATCGCACAGCTGGCAACGAAACAACAAAAGTAGTAATTTACATTTATAACCTCCGCCATGGACCGCCATGGTGGTCCTCCATAAAACTGAATCCGTATCCCCGGCATCTTCTCGCCGCTCGACAAATCTTCCGCCGTTTTGTCACTTTTCCGAATCCCCGTTCTCCTAATTCGTAACAAACAACGGTGCACACAGTGGCGTTAGACGACGTCTAAAGAGCAACCTTCTGTCCCCCGCGTCATGCTTCGATTAGCATCAAACGTCGCGTAACGCTTGACCCCCCTCTGTAGCGCGGCGATAAAACACGGTCCCGATCGTAAATCCGAAAACGGTTCCTCGACGTTCCCCATAAAACTGTCAATCATGCCTGGTCGAAAACGTCGCCTACATCATCGCGACAGCTGACGACTCTACTCGTCGCTAAGCGATCCATTGTAGACGAACTATGCGTGTCCCGATTTTTCCACGCACTCTTTCACCCTCCCCGGGCTTTTCTTTCATTCCACCTGGATACATCGGTGCGTCGCGTGTTCTCGTGGCGCCGCGCGTCGAACAATCGACGCTCAGCGTAATGCACGCCGCTGAAAATGGACTGATCGCCGCGGTGGAAATTCTGTGACACTTCGCGGGGTCTTTTTTTTCGGTACAGAGAGGGTTTTACCTCTTTTCATTCGGTTTTATGCTATATATCCGCGCAGCGACAGGGAAGTTTGATGTTTGGCTAGGATAAAAAACGGATTTTTTACGGCGATTTTGTAGCTTCGACTGGAAATATTTAGCGCGCGACGTTTAGGTGCGTGTGGAAACATTCGGTCCTCTGTCTTGCATGGTCGAATCTTAACTTAGGAAACGTTAGGATAATTCTCTGTAACGTGATTTTTCTTCGTTCGTGAGAAGAATAATTATTAACGAAGTAATAATAATTATTACAAAGGAATTTGCTAGTAATAATGTAACAATAACATGGCGTTAGAAAGTGTTAATTTTATTTTGTAATAAAATACTACTTCCTATTCTTCTTCAAATGAACTTACTAAAGTTACCTGAAAATCTCTGCGTCTACAATCAATTTCCTATTACAGAAGAATATCGGTAAGGGTTGAATTTTTGCATTCAGACAAAGAAAAATTCCATTTTCGAAAATTGTCCGGTATCGCGTTAACACGTTCCACGTGTGAACAACCACGCTGCACAATTCCACCTAACAGAAAACAACACAGAACCAAGCAGACGCATCTTGCACCAGCGGCAAGCATAATTGCACGAACGAAACCGGCTGCAATCTTCTTCACACGCTTTGAGCCAGCCAGTTGCGTTTCATTTAGCGTCTCATTCAACGGCATCTGGTTAAATTTTTCGCGCGCACAGGTGCGCTTACTTGTCGAGAGAGGCGCAAAAGCGCGACGGTTAGGTTCGTTCGCGGAGATTGAATTGGAATTGCTTTGTCGAAGCCGACGTCGGCGACGGCGACGGCGACGTTCGCGTGGTCACCTGCAGTCCGATTGTTGGGCACTGTCAGGGAAGGAAAATTGCTTTTTAACCCTCTCCACAACGATCGCAAGTCTCGAGATGGCGAAGCTTGAACGCCACCCTCTCTGTCCGCCACGCTGCAATGCTTTTTACGAAGACCGAAATCCGATCCGTGGAAAACCTCACTTGCCGCTCGTTCTTTTGTCTTCTTTCTGCCCGTTACTCGAAACGCCTCCATCGAAATTGCCATTAACCTTCATTCCGTCGCTTCCTCCGTTCTTCTTCGTTTCTGCGTTTCTCTCCTCTTTTGTCCACGATCGAGGCTACGTCGCCTCGATAGCTGGTTATCTCCGACGACCAATGCACCTCACTTTCGATTCGTATTTAGGAGAGAATGGCCGCTTCGACGATTGTCGAGGAATTGATCTTCGCGAACGACGTTTCGATCGTATTGTTATGGATAGTGGAGAGTTTGGTGTCGCGGAATTAGTTTTGAGGAAAGGGATAAGTTCCTTTGCATTTTTGGTGATTATGTTGCTGGAATTTTAGAATTTCGAAGTTTCATATTTTTGGAATTTTCGGAATATTAATGCTCCCATGACGATGTCGGTCTAATGTCGAAGCAGACTATTATGTTACTAAAATTTGAAAGTTTAACAATTTTAGAATATCCAGAATATTGATGCTTCCATAAGGATGTCAATTTAACGTACGCGAGACAGAATCATAATTTATCTTTTTTTAATTTGCAAATACCCTGCTCTAAGGTTCAGCTATGTTACGCAAATAGAAATTTCGTATCAAGATATTTTATACGTAAGTCCACTTCGTTTTCCCGAAAATATGAAATCAAGCTTGCTCGATCGATCGTTGGAGAAGCTACAAAAAAAAAGAAAAAAAAAAAAACTGACAGCAGCGCGATGTCATTCTTCCGCGCAATATCGCGCGAGCCTAGCTAGCGCTGGCACAGAGTGTGCAGAGGACGCGGCGGCAAAGTGTTTGTGTACGCGGGAACAAGAAGAGCCGCAGTTATTGATGACAAGCGGGGATAACGAGCGCGCGGGACGTTATTAAATTTTGAGTGGATTGTAGCCAATAAATTGAAAGGCGCCGCGCGCGTTACACTCGGCCGACGCGCGTTCAACGTTTCAAACCCACCGTCAGATTCTCAAATTCGCTAAATCGTCCCACTTAACGAGCGAGGGGGCAAACAGAAATCGAGTGTAAAAAGAGAAACAAACCTAGCGCAAAAAAAAAAAAAAAATAGAAGAAGAGCTAGAAAAGGTGGGTTGGAAGAAAAGGGGTGAAAGAAGAAAAGTGCAGGAAGGAGAACGTAAGAGAAAACAATTTTCGAGGTATCGAGCGTACATCGAAGAGTAGCTTTTCACGTATCTTTACCTTCTACAGTCCATTGAAATCGGCCATTGAATTCCGTCGGATTCCCCCGGGGGGTGAGAGAAGAGTTTCACCTCGGCGAGGGAAAAAAGTCTTTCTCGATACTGGTTCTCTATGGCCGGGCACAAAGAACGGCGAAACGACGCTCCGCTACAGGGGAGAGGAAACGGCAATTCGAAAATGCAATTATTCGGGCAACGTATCGTTCACCGTGCCACCTGTCGCGAAACCGAAAACCACCCCAAATAGAGGATGAAAAAAAAATCACTGTGAAAAAGTAAAGGGGAGATATAGATAGAGGGAGAGAGAAAGAGAGAGGGAAAGTGGAGACCGAGTCAACAACCCTGTTCCCGTTTCCCTCCACGGCCAGATGTGACGATTGTGACGACACGAAAAAATAATTTAAAAGCGGAGAACAACGCGCGATCACTGGACGGGGACCGCGTGTTGTTGGAAAAAAAATAAAAAAAAAGGGGTAACGCTCGAGTTTCGTTCTTTCGCCGTGGCCCCATAGCCGACTACGTATCGTATTTCTAGCGAGGCCTTTTTTCTTTAATTATGATCGTCCGTACGGTCCGCGAATGGTAAATTGAAGCGCGTAAAACAGTCGCGTATCGCGTTTCCAGTGACACGACTGTTGGTCCTTAATATTCGCGTTTTTTATATACCTGGACTTGGCCTCTCGATTGTAAATTTTTGATAGGAATGGATTTATAAAATTTGTGTATTAATAGAGAAAAAATTCGAACGTCCCTTCTCGCGATCCGTTTCGTTTTACGTCGAAACTTACAATTTCCCTACTTCTACAACCTCCTTTATTTTTCTGTCGAACGTGAATACGGGGACCCGCGAGAACTTTATCTCTTATCTTGTCACGTTATGAGGTCGTGTCGTGTTCGAAGTTACCTGGCACGAACCGTTACAGCTCGGCAACGGTTACAATAAAATTCCATCGCGGGGCTGACGTTACCGCAGAGTTTAGTTCCATGGAGAATTCCGAGGGAATGTGGTTTCGACTTTGTTCACCGCG